AAAAAATTGTCTAGGCTACCACCCAGTTTGTGAAGTGTTCACATTATTGAACAACTAAAAATATGCGTAAATCATATAAAGTATTTTTTTAAAAACGAAGTTGATGCATTCAATCAATAGAAAGTTGTTTGAAGGAACCTTCCATTCCGAATAGATCGTCGTGTGTCTTCGGCTTTCCAGGGCGTCGGGACTCGTCAGCTTTGATTTTTTCTTGTTCCTTGAACCAATCTTTGTAAGTCACCAGTTTTTCATACCATTGGCCTATAAAGTTGTAAAAAAAAAAAACAATAATATATTATCATGTTCTATAATATCAACTAAATGAATGATTATTTTAAAATTACTGTTAATGTCAGCGATCGGTCCAGCTTTTCCTCCATATTCTTCTGGAAGCATGTCCCTAGGTACAAATTCGTTTAATGAGTCTAATGACGAATGCACATGGATCTATATGACGTTCAAAAAGAAAAAAATAGATTAATCATACAATCCATAATATACAAATATCATATTATATTGAATACATCTATTGAATGAAGAATATATATTTATATAATGACTAGGGCCCGAAATTATATCCACTAAAAATTTATGAAATATCATGCATATTTGCACTGATTTTCATTCAAATATGAATTTTAATTAAATTTATTTAGTTTAAAAATGTATATAATTCATTAAATAATTAATAAGGTATATTAATAACAAAAAAATGTATTAAATGCCAATTTTATATAATTTAATTGTATTWTGTATGATATATTCAATAGTATGTTGCATTTTGAACATTCACTCATCTAAACAAAAATTCACGAACAAAAATCAAATAAAACAAATTTAGTATAATTTTTATAATATTTCAAAATTACATGGAGAGTTACAGTTAACTACTAAAGACTTGGATTCATTTTCAAATAAAAATGCACTTCGATTTTCAGGCAATTTTTTTCTTTTCCYATCCACGGGTTTTACATATGACATAGCATTAAKTATTAGTATTAATAACATAATAAGTACTATTTTTTCATAAACATACATTTTATTTTAGAAAAATGCTAAAATATGCATAAAAATTTAAAATATTCTAAATATGCAAAAATATGCAACATTTAATTTTGTTTACCAACACATTAGGTTAAGATTCAACTTTGTATCTTACCTAGCTATTTTTTAATTTAATAAATAAAAATATGAAAACGCATACAATTCCAGGCCCTAATAATGACTATCATATACAGTTACTTACCCTGGTGCGTATTTTTTCTTTAAGGAACGGCTTCACGAAGTTGATAATTGTATCAACCAGTGGTGAAACGTTTATTACGTGCACTTCCTTCAATTTAACTGGATATGCTTCCTAAATTAATATATACAAAGTCAAAAATCGGTTAACAAACGGCCGTGACATTGAAATTGTTAATACAAACTCTATTGCAACGATTACATGATTGTTTCGAAAATTAAACATAAAAATTGACTATTTTGGATCATCTAGTTACTTATTGTTCACGTCTAAGGAATTATAATCAGTTTGAAAATGGGTTAACAAGGACTAACAACGCAACTCATGGATGTTAATGATGTTAAATACAATATACCTACTTAAAGACCATAATTTAATATTTTTTGTTATAATTTATAAATGTTGTGCCATACAATGACTCAGCAATGTATACATTATGAAAAGGTATTAGAAATCGTTACGCATTGCAAATATCGATCAGACTAAGGTTAAACATATTTTACAGAAACATCTCTGGATAAAAAGTACTTAGATTAACTAATATTATGATATCATACTTTATTATTTATTTATTCATCTTTGTAATTTTCTGTAATTTACTGTATACAATGTATACATTATAATTAATTTACGCTTAACAACTTAATGATGTTAAAAATTCTTTATTATATCAATAAGTTCGATGACCTTGTATGTCAGAAACACTTTAATTTAATAATAATAAAAAAAGAAAAGAATAAAAAGTCATAAATACAAAGTTAATAAGTACAATAAAAATTATGAACTATTTTTCCTAAAGAAATTGTTGGTCTGTTATCGCCTTAAGTCATTAATTTCCAATGAGTATCAGTTGAATTTAATACAAATTTTTGGAATATTGAATGCTGTAAACTCAAATTTTTTTATATCACTAAATTTTTACCGGAAATTATAAGTACATAAAATTAATTTTGTTACAAACATTTTGATGCTGTTCATCWTGATAATGTTGTTTATTACAATAAATTCGAAAGAAACGATGATTATATTATACAGAATCGAAAAAAAACAATTCTTCTCTGAATCGGATCATCGCTACTATTGAGGTACAAGGTCAGTTTACATAATTGTGTTTATTTCGGTTCTATAATGAAATGGATTTCTCTTTCTTTCGAATACCAGAAAACAATWTAATATGTTAATATTTTATTAGAACTAACCTACCTATTATATGGTTCAACAAACTAAATTTTTAAAGTTCTAACTTGATACAAAATTGTATTACTTTACATATCACACATAATATAATATGTATTATACCTGTACACAAATGAGGAACTTTTTGATCAGAGATGGTGTAAACTTGGCAAAGTGGTTGGCAAAATTCTGAGGGGTAGCCACGCTGGCGTCCAGAATGTACACGTCTCCGGCCACACCAACGTGTTCCTCTTTTAATCTAATGTCACCGATCATTAGCACTACTTTCATACCATCGGCCACGGTCGCAGCTATTTGATCCAAATCTACACCGCTCATCATGACCACGCGGCGTCCATTTGGCGTCAAACCCGGAAGTGGTGGTACGTTTCTGAAACATGACAAAACATAAAATATATAATTATACGAAATATGAACAATGATATTTGAAATAAAATAGCACGTTGAGGAGATTAATTATATGAACACTACAATTTAGGTGCGCGCTCTAATATATCTATTTTGTCCAAATACACTGAATAAACTTTAAGTTGTAAAGCTCGTCAACTTTTAGGTATGTGAAAGTTGATTTTATATATTCATTCATTCGAATAATTAATTAACTATGGTCAAAATTAACTGAGGAGTTAACTTTGTGTTTGGACTTTAATTTTTTCAAATTACTCAAGATAATTAACTTACTTAAATATTTTAAGTTCTACGATTTTTAATAATATTTTTGTGTGTAATTTAGACAAAGGTCAAAAATAGGACGAGACTGAATCCACGTTTATCTGAAATTGACTCAAATGTTGTAAATACAAACAATTCGTTAGAATTTGAAAAATAACTACCCTCCTACCTACCTCACACCATCATTAATATGACAACGATAACTGCTCTCAATTATTACTATAAAGTCTTATATAGTTATATAATATAACGTGATGATACAACGTAAGTATATCCGTAAAATAGATCGAATCTTGTTGGTAAATTTATATAATAAAATATACACTCGATTTAGATAGTCTGTAGATGTATTATATGATGTAATGCAATCGAGAAGCTCATTTAATAATATATAAAATAAAATTATATAACAGAAAGTGTATACCTATACAAAAAATAACACAACAATGCACGGTGCGTGTTTTTGGTACTAACTTAAATAAAAAAAGTAAACATGTCAAAATATGACAATAAGCGTTTTAAAAATGAAAGAAGGAAAAAGTGTGTCTTATAATACGTTTAAAAATAGTTAAGTAACGCGATATAATAACCATAACGATAACAGATTTAATTAGTATGACACCTAGCTTGGGACAATATTGTGTCAACAACATGATAATAATATGTTATTGTAATTGAATATAATRTTAGTACCTAGATACATTAGTGGTAGTATTAAATAATATCTGTGTTTTTAATTAAAGAAGATGTTGTTGAATATAATTTTAATTATTCGACACATACAAATCACCGTCTAAAATRTTTATTTTGTTATTTATTTTACTACACATATCGTTGAAATAATGAAACGATTTTCTTTTTCTATATTAATTTTTTTTTCAGTACATTTAAAGTGAAAAACTCTAGGTAGTTTTCGAATACCTTATGTAAACGTTTGCCGTATTAAAACAAATTTACATACGCGACTCTCATCACTTCCTTGATTTCCGGTAAGGTTGGGTCTCGGTTACTGAAAAACTCCGGTACAGCCGCTCTCATCGTGAAGTACATATCCAACTTYCTCTTGGTCTTTTCCAGTGAGAATTTGCATCCTCGGAGAAACGTCATGATGCGAGCATCATCTGGAAAATAGACAAAAAAAAATAGTATAATACTTGTTTTTACATTATTTCCGACGAATAATTTAGAAAACTAAATGTTCAATGGAATTTAAGTGGAAATAATGGACCTAAAAATTCTGAAAAATATTATTTACGAAAAAAAGTTTCAGGTATCCATATTATATTATTTTTCAGATGACATAAATGTTAACTAAATAACTATACATACAACTCATGTTACAATATCAGTAAATCAATTTGTTATGTTAATTTTCATAGCATACCACGCGTTTGACATTTATTGTCTATACGCATGATGAATATTTTATGTGACTTGGTTTTAAATAAGATAAATAATACTTATTACGATTTTAGTTAKAATTAATTTAAAATTATTGTTCACATTATACTGTATACATATAATAATATAAAATGTTTACCTTTATAAATTAACTTTTCAACTAAATTAAAGTTTGCTAATTTATTTTTTCCTAATTAACTTAATACATCTTAACTAGTTAAAATACCACCATTGTATTATTTGTAAAGATGTGACTTTTTGCAATTAATTAAAAAAATAATATGTTAAGTTATTAAAATCATATTCATATTATTATTTATAACTGTAGTTTAGACTAACTATTATTTTGTTAATCAAGTTGTATACAATATGGTTTTAAAAAAGAATTAAACATATCATTATTACTCCTTTATTTAATATATTTTTTAGACATAATGTGTAATTGCCTCAATTGTTATATTTTAACCTCATTGTTCATTTAAAAGGAATAATGTATCTGTACAGGAAATATTTTTAACAAATATAATATTTTTAAAAAAAAAATGACACTAGGTAATATGTATGACTCAAGTGATATATTTCAAAAGGTTTTAAGTTAAAAAAAAAATATTGTATTTTTTAATATTTTTGTGTCAGTACAAATCGACATATTTTGTGAAGAAAAAAGTGTTATTTTTCTCAGTTTTTTGTCATAATCTTTTTTTAAAGTTATTTTAAATATAKTTTGAATGATGATCATATACATTTTTAATTTCATATTCAGAAGAATAATATTTTATTTATCTATTATAAGTATACTTGGATATAACAGAAATCAAAAAATGTTGGTCAATATAATTAATTAGAGAAGTATAACATCTAAAGTTTAGAAGAATGCGGAGTACAAAGCGAAACGATTTGATAATATTAAAWATTACCCAAGTATTACTATTATACTACTAAACCGRTATGTGGTTTGAAGAGCTTACCATGAAATTGCGGCAAGTGTGGTTGCAAACGTAACCATTCTTTGATATGTTCCAGATCCTTTTCCCTGGTCGACACGTCTTCGTTGAGCTCGGTGCGGATGTGCCGTTGCATCTCCACGGTGGGTTGTACGAGAGTCATCTTGCAATCGGCTATACAGAAAATTGATAACGATTCAAAATATTGAAGTGATGATGGTGTGCATAGGTTATTTAGGATATAGGGTATATTTAGGTATTAGGTATTTTSTTATGTATGTGCGCTCAAATATTACAATAGTATTATATTATTGTTACCTATCGTCTCTTTCGTGGCGCACGAACGAAAGAGAGAATGAAATTCTTCTCTGTCGCGAAGTGAAAGAACAACCACAATATTATTACAAAAGTAAGTCCGGTCCACGAACACTACACTGCCAGCTGATACTGCGCGACTGAATCATGGTCTATACGTCTTAGATAATATTATTATAGTAATCATACGAAAGAGAAAGTCTATACAGTCGCGCTCGCGGATACATAATATTATATAGGTATATACACACGGGTATACGGTATAGGTATGACGTGTGTGTGCGTTTATATAGGTACRGGAAAAATATGTAATAGCAATCGTCCGTTGCATAATAATAACGACCACAAAACCGACTAGGTCGCCGTGGCCATCATCGCGTACCCACAACCATCGTCGGATCCGTTGGGCAACACATCGGTGTAATAAAATTATAACTTTACATACAACATACCTACCTACCCAATATGACATTATCAGGTATATAAGTAAATACCAACGTTATAGGTGCGATCGAMTAAATAAACTACCGACGGGATGACCTTCCGCCGATTTAGAAATTTCATCTAGGCGGCCGCTTCTCCGTCGCGGTCCTGTTTGATATTATATCGTCGCCGCACCGACGAAATCGCAACACGACGCTAATTTATTATTACGCGTCATAATAATAATATTAACAATATTATATACTAATTGTTATATTTTTATCACACGCGTCTAATGATGATGGTGTGACTGATGTACATGTTTTCCGTGTCGAAACGGCCCTGAAGCAATCGATTTGATGTGTATATAAGCTATTTTAGACTAATGTCAATGACGACGTCCAGGACGGGTGACCTTCCGCGGACGTTCGAATTATATATTTTTCGTCCGGTCATCCGTTTTTCCGTCGTCTGGTTATTCGGTATCATCGTCCCTAGGTTGAAATCGCAACTCGACGCTAAACCATAGGCGTCAATATTATAATATAATTTTTATGTTTTTATTGCACACGACGACTGGAGGTGTGCCAGATACACGTTTCGCACGTGTTAGTATTGGACCGACCCCAAAGCAGCCGATATGATGTATAGGTCGAACGTGATGTGTGTATCTAAATGGCTGGAGCCGACAAAAATAATAAAATAATTAATAATAACATGATGTCCTTCGCGAATAATTTGCACGGAAATGTGCTTTTCACGATGATCCGCGAAAGCCGACACCTAGACGCGTATCAATATTTTTTAAGTGTCCATCGCACTTAGTCATAACATGCGTATGGGCAAGAGTACATATGAAAAATGCATATTATAGGCACTACACAAGAGATTGTTGAGCCGGAAGACTGCATCGTAGTCCAAGGACGAGCCGACGAGTGATGGGTTATCGACAAACACAGTCTGTTGATGACAACAGCCAAATAATGTACTTTAGACAATATTTCAAATAAACAATTGCATATTATAGGTATTACCTTGCATAATATTTAGTTTGTAATTATGTTGAGTTATTTTTTGAAGTGCTATTATTTAAATACCATTTTTCTATTCCATGAATGTATTATATTTTAGTACATGGTATTTTTGATATCGAGATATAGTTTAAGTCAATACCAACTAAACACTTCATGTTTCACTCCTGCCATAACCTGTGATAACAATCCATAGAGAAGGGTTTTATTTATTCGTTTCAATACACAATTTTATGTTCCTCAGCACCGGCTGAATGAATGTTTTCGACGACCTACTAAGACTTTCAATAGTATTCCATTGTATTTTGTATTTATAGGTAGGTAGGTAGGTACTCATTAAAATCAAATATAATTTATCTCGTTTATATCTCGTAATTTATTCCATGAAAATTTAAGTACTGTGTGTCATGTATTCAAATTAAATTGTTCAAAACTATTTAGCTCATCCCTGTTAGTGTCCTTGATGTTCTTTTGTGACGTTTTCCTTTTGTCGGAATTCGTATGTCGATAGAAGTCATCTGTGTAAAATCTCCAAATTTGAAATCAAGCCCAATTCAATGGTGTGAGGGGGTGCTGACGATACGACGCCAGTTCAACTCATCCGGTGTGCAAAATTAACGACTAACGTGGACGCCCGGCGGGTGCAAAACGTAATTAAAATCAAATCACGTGAACAACTTAGTGGGTGTAGCTTTCTATACGATTTGAGGCACTGAGGGTTTACTGCCAGAGCAAACCGAATACACACTATTATACTCATAATATTGAATAATAATAATGTAAGACCGTTATTATTATGGGTACCTTCTGCCTACGTATAGGTACGACGCGCGACGTCGTAATAATATAATCTAACCGGAATCGTSGGTGATATTGTGAACACATTGCAATGAAAAGGTTGACGTGCGTAATAATTGAAATGTGATGTAGGTACGGCTAATTATATCAATATATAATAGTAATACATTACCGAGTAATTCATTTAACTTTAAACGTCCATTATTTTAAAAACTGTTTATGTTTTCGAAAATATTTTTTTTACATAATTTTAAGTCATTAATAAACAATACTATTTTCTAAAAAAAAAGATACTTTTACTATTTTGTATCGTTATCGTTTTTAATTTTTTTCTTTTTTTATGACAGCATACATTTTTAATTCCTTAATTTAAAGCAGAATATTTGTTGAGTATCTAATGTGTAAAAATTGATTTTTTTCTGAGTAGTTTATGAGTTAAAGTGTATACATTTAAAAATATTGATGAGCGGAGTGTACTATTGGAGATAGGTAGTGCAATACAATTTTGGTCCAGAAAAAACTATTACCTTCATCTAAATGTAAAGTACTTTTAATAAAAAAACTAGGGGTTTTCCGAAATTTGATTTTTATGATATATTACTTTGAATATTATTCTGCTTCAGTAAATTAAAAATATACGTTTTCATTTTAAAGAATTTAAAACTTAAAAAACGATAAGTTAATAGTAAATTATATAATTTTTTCTCTAAATATATTGTTTCGTAATGACTTACAATTATATAAATTATGTTCAAAAACAATGTCGTCTGAAGTAATGAGTGACATATACAACGGTATGGTGAACAACCCATACATATTAGTGTCAAAAAGAAAAAAAAAAGAAAAGAATCTTTTTGTCGAAATTAATGGCGGAAAACAAATTAACTGAGAAAAAATGAAAACGGCTTATGTGCGTAGAATACTAAAGATAAGAACTTTATTTTTTAACAATACGGTGTGTTACGATTTTGACTTCAGTCGGGTACGTTATTTGAAATGCACATTGACAACAAAAACACTCGGAAGACTGTAGCGATATAACGATATTAGTGATACTATATTATAAATTATAACCCACCTAGTTAAATAATATGGTACTTCGGTAATAACTGAAACGAACCGTACTACGGCACGACCAATATTATAATTATGTTATTATCGTGGCACGAAACTTAGAGCACATACGCCATTGATAATGCATATCTATATTATTTGATTTGTACTGTTTGGCGTTTGCTATGTGAAATGACAGCATTACGTATCGTTACGTTATAGGTACATCCGTTTTATACTGTTAACAATATCCAAATACTGTGCATATACTGTGCATATTTTAAATTTTTTTTGTCATTATTTTACTTTTATATCAAGGTGTTGCTAATTATAGCAGAATCATGCACTTTCAAGAGTGAAATGAAAAATTCTGACTGACACATGCTAGTAATAATAGTAGTATTAATGATTCTGGGATGATTTAAATTATTGTAATTATTAAAACGATTTAACTCGGCGATTCGTTGTCGATAAATAAAAATATTCTCTATTAAAATATATAAACACCATGTCCTTTATGGGTTTCTCTCAATAATAATAATTGTATATTTTATGAATGCCAACAACACATTTAGTGGAAATAATAATTATTTAGTTTATGCATGCGTGACTATAAATACTTTTATTCATCAATAAATATAATAATTTTATTAGTCCTGCGAGTGTTGACTAATAAAGTTTTCCTATTTTTTCAGTACCTATAGGTACCTCGGAGTTATTTTAGGTTCAGAATATTCTTTACAGATGGACTTTAAGCTTGACAATTTTTTTTATTTGAGTTTATTCTCTAGACCACATTGCTCAACTGACTGCAGGTTTGGAGCATGAAAATAATATTATAACACGCATTGGACATTAGTCATTAAGTCATCCGAGTCCTGAGAATTTTCAACCAGCCAATGGCATTTGATCTTGAACTTTATGACGATTGCACTGCACACTTTATTGACGGTCTCGCAATGTGGACGACTGGGAACGACAGTGTTTGTTGAAAATCGTATATTTCGTGTCTGTTCAATAATATTATACTATATTGTGCTATAATAATACTAGTAGGCGCGTCATTACCACATCGCAAGTTTCAATTACGAAACACAATAACAAATTATTATTAATCCGTACGAAATCGTGAGCATGCACACTGCACACAAAACACACATGAGTTAATGCGCTGCGTACTATGTGTAAAGTATATACCGAAAATAATTAAATCACATACAAATTAAAAATGTTACTTCGTCGTAGGTACTGTTTTCGTGTGAGCACAGAAAGAGAAACTCAGTGCCCAACCATCGTGATGAACAATATTCCGTTCGTGTATTTTTATCGTATAAACACGAATTTATTATCTTCTCTGTACAAGCACGTCATGTTCACCACGATAATGTCTCGTGACGTATATAATAATAATAGGCACATAATTTAAGAAAAACAATCAAAATACATTTTCAGAAAAAAAAAAACAACGGATAAACAAATCTGTCTGAAGGTTATGATGTATAACATAAYAATAGGTATGTGGGGTGGCTGTCACCGGTATAACATAAATGACTGTTGCGYACTAATTATAACAATAATATAGATTGTAATGCAACTACCTTTATAGTAAAATAAATAATAATAATAATATTGCGTGCAATTTCAAATCATGCGTTTTTCGTGACAGAATTAAATTATATCGAAAACTCGCCCGCAGCGGATACTATTATGAACTTTTCACTTAGCCGATAATATTTTTGTTCGGTGACGACTCTATAAATTATCTGCATAAGTAAAAAATAACGTAACATTTAAATCGAATTACCGTGCCCTCGTCGATCACATAATAAACACTTTTAAA